GGCCGCCCACCGACAGCACCCCTTCGCTCGTTGCTTATCCCGTGCCCACGGAGCTGAACTAACCCTCGGGGGGAGCCCAGGCTTCAGAGCAGCAGCGGTACCCGCATCGGGGTGCTCCCCAGCCTTTTGCTCTTTACGAGCCCACGCCATGCCAGACAAAGCCGTGGGTTCTCCCTTCAGCCTTTTGCCCAGATACGTGCTGTCTGAGTCCAAATCACTCAGGAAATCGGAACCACGCGTCTCCAAATCGCGGTTTCTGGTTGGAGTGTCTCTGTCTTTTTTTAGGAATTGGTTAAATCAAAAAGGAGAGGGAAGAGGTGGGAGCAGGCCAAGCAGACAATACCGTGTTTTCATTCAGTCCTTCTCACCCGGCTCTTCAGAAATGTGACTTAAGAACTGTTTGTTTGGCTGAAAGAGCATTTAGGCACATGCAGCAGCTTATCTAGCCCACACTGGAGCTGGTAGGCTTTTAAGACACATGGGTGCAAATCTCCATTTTCAGATCAGGGTTGTGTTACTTGTCATAACACAGTCGATGCAACCTCTGCATGACAAGCCGACTGATTAAAAAAGTAGCTGTTGGCAGAAGCTGTCCAATTATTGCCTCGTGTTTTCGTTATCTACTCAGGCCAGAGTTACACTGGCAAACTTGGCCGAGGAGCTGGTAGCGAAGCTAGGCTCCGAGGCTCAGAAGCCCCTGCTGTGACTTCAAGAATAACGTGTCAATAAATGCAATATGTACTAAAGAAACTGCTACTCAGATGCAAATATAAGCAAAATTCTTTAAATGACTTTTACCCTTTTTTTCAAAATTTTGTTATCTTGTTTGAAAACATTCAAAACAAAAAAAAGACTTTAAAAGTCTGAGGTCTGTTAATTAACCAAAATTCACCTTCTTTCTTCACAGCTGATGAGGAATTTAATGAGCTTTGCTTTGAGTTTGGTTTGGAGCTTGATGAAGTTGTAAGTAACGTTTTTATTTGTTACTTTTTCAGTAGATGTAGTGTACTGACGACATTTATACTTGGTAAGAGTTTGTACTGCAGCATTATTTCCAGCATATTCTCTTGGCTGATGCCCTCTAGCATGTACCAAGAAAATGTCTAGGCAAGGTTTGGAGGATACCATGCCCCAGGTATCCTCAAAAAGCGGTGTGGACAAGGCTTGAAGGTTCCCTTGACCTATACAATCTTTCAGCAGTACTGCAGCAGCAGCAGGCTTTTCATCCTGAAACATCCTCATACATCTCCATAGCACAGGGCAGAACATGTAACACATACCTTTAGGTTCTTGTTATAAAATACTGTTGTAATAGACACTGTTAACACAGGTGTTTCAAATCTGAAAAGAAAAACAGACCTACAAAAATCACTGCCTTGGAAGCAGGAGAACCCAAGATGGCATATTGCTCTACTTCATGGAGGTCGGCAGTCTGTGCCACTTGCTCTTCAGTCTCTGGCCCCATTTTATTTAGCAGCATAAATATGGCCACAGACCATGTATCAAACATACTTTACAAGATCTGTTTGGCTTTGTTTTGTATGCATTACTTCTGTGCAACACCTACAAAAATGTATTTGTCCTGGACATTGTTACCTAAGTTGTAACTAATTTCTATTTAAAGTTTTGATTTAGATTCCGTACTTGTGAAAATCTGCTGGCCCTCTTAACTGTATCCATGTAAATCTTGTTCAAGTGACCTCTTTTGGTTTTGCTTTTTAATTTGAAGTAATCGATCTTTTAATGATGTTTATCAAAAGCCATCTGAACATCATATGTTATGCTTTATTTCAGAATAGACTTGATATGACAAGTTATTTGCTGATCTATTGCCAAAAATAAGGTCTCGGTTCTCTACTGGGATCTGCTAGCCTGGAAACTCTTGCTTCTATAATCTCTTTTTTAAAAATTCAAATTCTAATAGTGAATTTTTCTTTTGGTATACTGCATTACAATCTCTGAATCTGAAAAAGATTTAGATTTTACGTCATTTCTGGTATTTGGTGTGTCCATTTGCTGTATAAATCCAAATTACACCTTTAAACTTGTATTTAATACAATTTTTCCTATTGTATTATCTCACTATCATATTCCTGTCAATGTTAAGGTATTTCAGGTTAAAAATACATTTTTGCTTAATTTCAGACATCTGAGAAAGACATTATAAGTAAAGAAAAAGGTGAAGAAAAGGCAAAGGGGGCATCTGATACTGTTCTCTATAAAATTGATGTTCCTGCCAACCGTTATGATCTTCTTTGCCTTGAAGGGTTGGTCCGAGGACTGCAGGTCTTTAAAGAAAGGTAATGAAGAGTTGTGAGATTTTTGTGTGGTTTGTTACTTGTTTAAATACGAGACCATTTCTGGTCAATAAACAAACTTGCCATTTGCTTGCATTTTGAGTATGATCTCATGTGTAGATCACATTCCTCAGATGTTCTTCTGGAGAGGATCTATTGCATATTTTTAAAAGACTAGACTAGAATGTTACTGGGTTTTGGATCTGTTCTAAAAATTTTTCAACTGCTTTTCCATTTGAGACTTATCCTCTGTAAAGAACTCCTGCAGAGGAACTTCCTTGTGATCCTCTGTAATAAATACCAAAACAAATAATTTATTTCACTTTTCTGCTATGACTTTATCTTCTTGAGTCCTTCCTTTCTAGTTCAGTAATCTGCATACCATCCTACAGAAAACAAGTTTTAAACAGTTAGTTAATTTACATGCCAAGACATGTTACTAAGAAAGTTTTCTACATGTAATTGTTGCTACATTTCTAAAGTTTCCTGCATTTGGGGAACTTTCTTTCTTTTGGTTACAGACTTATTTCTCGTTTTATTCTAGGATAAATCTCCCTAGGTACGAAAAGATAATACCAGCTCAGGGTGAAGGTCAGAGGCTGATTATCACTGAAGAGGTAAAAGTGTTTACTGCACCTTTGGAAATTTAATGAGAGTTTCTGAACCAGCAAGATAGGTATCAGTACCAATTTTATAAGAGCAGTAAGGCTGGAAATCTTATTTCCGGAACAAGAGCTAAAGAACTTTAAATATCTCTACTCATTGTGATTTATTTTTAGGGAAGGGGAGGGGGAGGAACAACAGACAAATTATTTTGGGTGAACCAAGTAGCAGATCAAATCAAAGTTTCAGATACTCACCTTGCATTGGTCTTCTGGGCCATTACACAGTATATAGGAAACCTCCTTGTCTCTACTAGACCTGGAGTGGGTTCATTTGGGTTTTTTTCCCCTTTGGGATTCTGATGTCTTTCCATGAATTTTCCTTTTGATTACTACTTTACAAAAGAGGATGTTACGAAGAAAGTAGCACATTTAATCAGTTTTAGTCTTGTATATTCTGTGTACTTGAAATTTATAATGTGTTGCTGTTGTAAATTGCAGACTGTCCAAGTCCGTCCTCATGCTGTAGCTGCAGTCCTTCGTAATATAACTTTTACCAAGGAACGTTATGATAGTTTCATTGACCTCCAAGAAAAACTACACCAAAATATTTGCAGGTTAGTGCTTAAATTTGAAGTAGTGTATGGTGTCTATGTGTATGATTTTATCACGTTAAGCCTGTGCATACCTGTTGCAGAGAGGCATTACATTTACATTTATGCTAAGGAAAATCTTTTATAGCACCTCTCTTGATCCTTCTCGTTTCCTTGCCTGCTTCTAACTGCTCTCAGTATTTTTCAACATAAATAGCTGTTACAGCTCCTACAACAGTTAAGAAAGCATTTTGCAACAGTCCCATTGGATTTGCCTTTGCTGTTAGGTGTGTTGTTAACATTCATTAAAATGTTATTCGTGAAAATAATTTCTAGGCTTCTCAAAATTGCCCTTCTACTTTTTCAGTAAGTTCTCTGAATGCATAGGAGTATAGAGCATCATGAGATATTATCTCAAAGGAACTCCAAGTATTACTAGTAAAAACATTATTTTGCCTTCTTTCTTTCTAGGAGAAGAGCGTTAGTAGCAATAGGTACCCATGACTTGGACACCATCTCTGGCCCGTTTACTTTTACAGCTAAAGCACCTTCTGAAATTAAATTCAAGCCCTTGAATCAATCCCAGGAGTACACAGCTTCACAAATTATGGATCTGTATAGGGTAAGTGGGATTTTTCAGACTTGTTGCACTGAATGCAGGAAGATAAATTTCCAAGGCTTAACGTCTCTCATATCCTTGTTATTAAAAGTTGTTCTTACAAATAAAACAGAATTATCTTCTGTAGCTTCAGCCAGTGAACATTTCCACATTTTGCTTATTCATGAGAAATACATGGTAATACTTTGTTGTCCATGAAGGATACATCATGGTGTTTTGTGGCTAAGCATAACTCTTAGAATAGTGGGTTTGATATCAACCCTCTGATTTTGATTTATCAACACAAAGACTGCTTTTCATGATGCTCTTAATAATACTGTAAAAGGGTTGTATATTTATCTGTCTACACTGGTAAGATACTCAATGTACAAAGCTGAGAAAAGCTTGGGGTAAATAATACCAGATTTTTTAATGTTACTTTAATTTGGCCAATTTACTTGGGGAAGATGTTAAATTATTTACCCAACTACCTATTAGGCAAGTGTAGCTATGTAAAAGGCTCAAGTTAAGTCTGGCCCTGCTCTTGGCCCAGCATCCTGATGAAACCAGGTAAATGCTAGGAAAAGATTTTATCAGGTCTAATTTTATGATGTTTCTGTGGGCCACTTTAAATGTCAGCATTTGAAAAAGATACTATTATCACCACCATTACAATATACAGCCCTGCTGGAGCACACGTACTGGTCATAGAGATAAATAAATTCTTAAAGATCTCTCGCTAGAGATGAGTAAGACAGCTAGGAAACAAGGGGTATCAGAGAGACTAAAAGTAAACACTGGTTTTGGTACAGCATATACCTGTGTCATTGAAACAGATGTAAATTTTGAATCAAATTTAAGCATAAATGGGTCATATTCAGCAATTTACAATTACAAGTATTGTAGTGCTAATTTTTGTAGAAGCTAGTCACTTCTAAGGAAAGTTCTTATAAACGAAGGATGTGTGCCCATGGGTTTGGTAATGAAAGGTCTGCTGCAGTGAACAAGGGCATCGTTCAGACAGCATGGCCTACGCATCTTTGAGAGAATCCTTAAATAATTTTTAACAGTTCTGAGGAAAACAAAAAATCCAGTTCTCTCATTTCAAAGTTTTCCTGCTTCTGAGAGCAAACAGCTTTTGCTAGTGAAGTACCTAGCCCTAAGCCAAATCCTTCCCTATTTCAAAGTTCTCGTTAATCTCAGCAAAGGATTGTGGCACTGTGGAAGTTCACAAGTGAGCCAATGTGAATTTTAGGTTGTGCTTTGTTTCTCCAGACTGACAGCCACCTTCGGCACTATTTACACCTAATTGAAAACAAGCCACTTTATCCTGTCATTTATGACAGCAATGGTGTTGTTCTGTCCATGCCACCAATCATTAACGGTAAGATTACTTGTGACTAGTTTATACTGTCGCTGCTATTTTGTGTGTGAGAGTGTCTAACAGAAACATTGATGTGTAATAAGGATTATTCTGTTTTCTTAAAATCGTTTCGCTTACAATTTCACAGTCTTCTTTCCTTCTTTTGGTTTAAATGCAGCCAAATTTTTTGCTCCCTCCCTAGGCTGCTAGTGTTCCTCTTTTCTCATTCTCATCAAGAGGACATAAAGGTTCCACTGCAAACCTCTGCATTTAGCTTCTTATACCCTTCTAGAACTCAAGAAAGGTTCCTTGTGACACGAACCTTTGTTAGGACAGCATTTTGTTTGCATACATAAACGTTGTTCATCAGACATTTAGCTAAAAGAAGCATGTAAGAAATTACTTTATAAACCAGTAACTGTAACAGTCTGCTTTGTACTCCATTTTGTGTGGTCACAGTAGGGAACTTTTCACCTAGGTCTTAAGCCCAGTGTATTTATCAGCAGCATGAACCACTTCTTGTGGATCCTTTTGCTATCACACAAGTGATTCCAGAAGACTTCAATGGCTTAAAAAGAATAAATTGGTCTAGACTTTTTTGCATTGTTTCTAAACATGAGTTTCCTCTGACTGCAAAAGAAACTGTGGGTGATTTTTGAGAACCATTTTACTGAAGCCAATCATTGATGTGGCAAGAATTACTCCTTTAACAAAGGTATTTCAGTATACCTATATATTTAGTCAAGAGTC